TACACACAAAGCGCATGTGTGAAAAGCGTTGAAACACAGTGCTGACACATGCGCTTTGTGTGTAACAATGTACGTGTTCAAAATCATATGGTTTGCCCGCCGACTAGTTTGTGAAGCATACTGTATAGAAAAGCAAAAGTTTCATGTTATAAGTGTTTAAAAGTAATGTTTTGCAGTCGTAAATGTGAGGTAACATTTCAAACACTGTTGTAAATCATATAATTTTAAGTGATAATTATTTATTAGATTGAGTCCAGAGACAATAATAATCACTCCCATGAATGTCCAGTTCTGGCCGTTCGGCCACTTTTGGCAATTACTAGACTTATTGCCCGAGTTATCAAACAACTTGATAATAACGGGGTTAACAATAAGGGCGAAGTGATTGGCAATCATACAAGAGATTGGGATTGTTTGATGGATCGTAAGATTTATTCATATATTAAACAAATATTTATATTTCGACTATTTTTGCTGAACATTATATAGACTACGAGAATATTACAAAGGATTTCGGAGTTATGCGTGAATTTGAGTTAATATACAATGAATTGACACTTATTTTTGGGGATTCATTGCCTGAGATTGAGATAATATTAAGAATATATGGAAAACTATTGATTAACACGTTTGCAATTCAAGACTCACTTATGAGACAAATTGGTAGAGCTATATATCTCGGGTTTGTTTGCTATAATTAATGCTAAAATTAATTTTTAATAATTTTAATCTATTTGAAAAGGCCGTCAATTTTTGACCACTCGTGCAAACCGTCGGCGAGTTTCCTATTTATAGGCACAACACTGTATATTAAGGCCACAAAATCTATGACAATCGCAGACATCACAGATTTTCGTATCTCATATATCGATGAGTTTGAGACAACTGTTGAACGCCAGCGACAGCTCAGAAGTGCCTATTATTTTGACTGCGATTGCGAGCGATGTGTAAACTATTCACAAAACTTGTTGTAAATTTTGAATCTATTTTTAATTTATTTGGTTTTTGTTTTATTTATAGACTTTCAATGAAAGCGTTGTTTCTATGGCTGAAGACAAGAGTTTGCGTCACATTTGTGAGAAGATTGAAAAGTTATCAATTGATAGCAATTATATCATTGACAGCACCAGTAGTTTAACAACAAAACGATTGCATACAAGTAGTGTCCAAAACGATGATAATATGATTCATGAATTGGTGGCAGACTTACGGCAAGATGTAATGCCATTGAATTCTGTACTTAAAGTAAAAATTGCAGAGTTTGTGGCCATAAATGATAAAGATATGGATCTATGGCTTAAAGTGATGGCTATATTTAGGTCTTATTACGGCGATTGTCATCAAAGACTTGCACTAAAGCTGTTTATAATGGCAAAGAGTGCCAACAAATACCCGGCACTCAAACGGCAACTGTTGACTGAAGTAAAATCCATCGCCAATCAGATAACGCCAGACATGGGCTCACAAATGATGACAGAGTCGACCAGAAGTCGAGCTATTAATCGGTATTCACGACACAAAACAATCTCCGATTCATTAATCAATTCAACGCTTTTATATCTCATTGAATCGGAACTCATTGATTACAAGCCCTACAGAATCGCACAGAATTTGCCCAATAGTTCCGGTTATACACAGAGATCGCGATCTAATGTTACTTTCA